AAGCCCCCCCAACCCAACACAAATGAGATGAACATCTGGGCGGGCAAGAAGCTGAAAAAGCCTCCCCAGGGAGCCTGCCGATGGCTTCGATCGTAGCGAGGAGGGGCGCCCCGAGGAGGAAACAGGAGGGCGCGGCAACGAGAGAAACGAGAGAGAAGCCCAGGGCCAGCCCCCAGACGACAGAGAGCCTCAGACTTCGCTCCTCGAGGCTCGAACTCGAGAGGTTCGAACCTCGAGCTGGACCAGGAAGTCACGGCATCTGAGATCTGCGAAGGGCGGGCTCCTGCAGAAAACCGCTGCGCCGACCGAGCCGGGTGCAAGTTGCGCGGCGGTGGACCGAGTATCCGGTGGGCCCGGGCGGCGGCCGATCGGGAGGTGAGCTCCCGTCCTCTTCCTCATCCTCCTCCTCCTCCTTCTCCTCCTCCTCCACCTCCTCCTCCCTCCTCCTCCTCCTGCTCCTCCTCCTCCTCCTCCTCTTCCTCCTCCTCCTTCTCTTCCTCTTCCTCCTCCTCACTCCCCCTCCTCCCCCTCTCCTCCTCCTTCCTCCTTCTCCTCTCCTACCTCCTCCTCTTCCTCCTCATACCCTCCTACTTCCCTTTTTACTTCCCTACCATCCTTCCCTCCCTTCTACCTCCTCCTCGTCACTCGTCCCCCTCCCCTCCTCCCTTCCCCCTCCCTCCTCCACCTCCCCCTCCTCCGTCATTCCTCCTCTTAATCCCTCCTCTTCTCCCTCCGCCATCCTCCCCTCCCCTCTCCTCCCTCATCCCCATCCCTCCCTCCTCCCTTCTTCTTCATCCTCTTCCTCCTCCTCTCCTTCCTCATCCTCCCCTCCTCATCCTACTCATCTCCTCCTCCTCTCCTCCGTCCTCCTCCTCAGCCTCCTCCCTCTCATTCTCCATCACTCATTCCTCATCTTATCCCTCTTCCTACCTCCTCCCTCCTCCTACCTCCCCTCTCCTCATCCTCCTCCTCCTCCCTCCCTCGTCCGTCCCGTTCGGTTCCGTCCGTCCGTCGTCCGTCAGTCCGTCCGTCCGTCCGCTCCGGTCCTCCTTCCCTCCTCCTCCTCCTCCACCCACCACCCCCTCACCTCCTTGCCTCCTTGTTCCTCCTCACCCCTCATCATCCTCCTCCTCATTCCTCCTCCTCCGTTCCTCCTCCTCATCCTCCACCCCCCCCTCCTCCTCCTCCTCTCCGTCCTCTCCCTCCTCCTCCTCAGCCTCCGCCTCCGCCTCCTCATCTCCTCCTCCTCCTCCTCCTCCTCCTCCTCCTCCTCCCTCCTCCTATCCGCTCAGCAGCCACCCAGGGAGCCGCGAGGTCTCGACGGGATCTGCGTGACTACCCACTCCGCTGGGCCTCCCATGCCCACGAAAGTAGCGGCGTTTGTGCAGTTCGCGGCCCCCCTGGGAGCCGCGAGGTATCCACGGGATCTGCGTGACTGCCGACTCCGCTGAACATCCCATGGGACTCAAAGGCATACTAATACTGTATGTCCTCCTTGGAAGCGCGCGTCTGACCCGAACATATGGTTTACCCATCTTGTAGTGTATCGTTTCCCGAGCGGTGTGGCCAGAAAGCGCCCGCCACAACGCATATACTATAAGATTTCTCGGTGCGCGCGTCGCCCCTGGGGGGGCGGCGCACACACAATATCAGTATGCTGGGGTGACGCCGATCCCAGGAGCCCACGAAAGTGGAGACAGTTGCACAATTTGCAACCGCCCAGGGAGCCGCGAGGTCATGACTGGATCCACGTGTACCCCACTAAGCTGGACCTCCCTGGAGCCTACGAAAGTGGCGACGTTTGCGTATTTCGCAGCCCCCCAGGGAGACGGGATCTGCGTGACTACCGACTCCGCTGGGCCTCCCAGGAGCCCACGGAAATGGCGACGATTACACGGTTCTCAATCCCCCCAGGGAGCTGCGAGGTATCCACGGGATCTGCGTGACTGCCAACTCCGCTGGACCTCCCAAGAACCAGCGAACGTGGCGACAATTGCACAATTTTGTCTCCACAGGGAGCCGCGAAATCTTGACGGGATCTGCGTAACTACCGACTCCGTTGGGCCTCCCAGGAGGCCACGATGGCAGCGCCAATTGCACAATCCGCAGCCCCCCCCGGGGAGCCGCGAGGTCTCGACGGGATCCGCGTGACTGCCGACTCGGCTGGACCTCCCAGGAGCCAACGAAAAAGGCAACCCTTGCGCACTTCGCAGCTCCCAAAGGAGCCGCGAGGTCTAGACGGGATCTGCTTGACTATCAACTCCGCTGGACCTCTCACGAGCCCATGGAGGTGGCGATGGCTGCGCAGTTCGCAGCCACGGAGCCGCGAGGTCTCGACGGGATCTGCGTGACTGCCAACTACGCAAAACCTCTCATGAGCTTAGGAACGTGGCGACAGTTGCGCGGTTATCACTCCCCCACGGGAGCCGCGAGGTCCCCACGGGATCTGCGTGACTGCCGACTCCGTTGGACCTCCCAGGAGCCCACGATCATACCGACAATTGCGCAGTCCGCAGCCCCCCAGGTAGCCGCGAGGTCTCGACGGGATCCGCGAGCGAAGGTGAACCCCCCCCCCCAAGTCTCGACCCCAATTTCCGAACCCGAGATCTGGGGATCAGGACTGCGGGTGGGGGGGGAGGGCTCTTCGGGGCCCAGGAATTGAGAAACCCATCCCCACCTCCAGTCCTGGACCCTTGGATCGCCGGCTCGGGGATGGGAATTGGGACTAGGGGTGGGGGTGGGTTTTCGCCTTCCGCGGGAAACCACAAGGTCGCGATACCGCTACTCTCCGGACCTCTCCCCGGCTGCGTTCTGACCAGGATTTCGAAGCGAATCCAGCGGTGGCGACGAGGGCCGCCGAGGAGGCCCAAAAAGGGGAACACGGGCGGAGGGTAGCGGGGAGGAGGAGGAGCAGGAGCAGGAGGAGGAGGAGGAGGAGGAGGAGAATGCGGGAGGAGGATGAGGAGGAGGAGGAGGAGGAGGAGGAGGCGGGGGGCGGAGGCAGGAGGCGAAGGAAGGCAGAAGGAGGAGATGGGGGAAGGAGAGGAGTGAGTGAGTGACGGAGACCACATTGCTCTGCCCACGACGAGACCCACACATAGGAGGGCTGGGACACAACAGCGCGGTGGTCGGGATGTCGACGACCTCGGCATCCGGGGGGCGCCCTCATTGGCCCTGGGGTCATCAAACAAAGCCTCTGGACGAAACGCCGGCCCCGAGGAAGGGGTCGAGATCCTCGGGGGCCGCCGTCGAGACAATAAGGCCACGTCGGAGGACAGGGAAGCAGTGGTGAGAGGCCTCGGAACAGCCTTGATTGTAAAGGAGGAGGGAGGGAGGAGGAGGAGGAGGAGGAGGAGGAGGAGGAGGAGGAGGAGGAGGAGGATCAGAAGGAGGACGAGGAGGGGGAGAGGGAAAAGGAGGAGGAGGAGGAAAAGGAGGAGGAGGGGGAGGAGGAGGAGGAGGAGCTCCCTCCTTCTCCCCTTGCCTCCTGGGCTCTCTCTTGCACCCCTCCCGGCGCCACCCGGGGGGGGAGGGCTGCGAGGCCTCCAGCTCGAAGCTCGAAGGAGGATGGGGCGCGGCACCGGCCAACAGGGCAAGGGCGAACAGGGGCAGGGGCGTGCCCGCTGTCCTGGGGATGCCGGGTGCCTCGGGGGGGAGCGCCCTCCGTCCGCGGGCCGGGCCCGGGGCCCTGCAGGGGGCCCCGAGGGGGGCCTCGAGCCCTCGCGGCCCAGCCAAGGAGCCGAGGCGCAGCGAGGCCCCGGGGGGCCGCTGCGCGGGTTGGCCGCTGCGGCGTCGGGGCCGCGCCCCTGACGTGCTCCGCGCGTCCGGGAGGGGGGTCCAGCGCCGGTCCATGGGAGGCGCAGAAGCGTACCACTCCTAGATCCTAGGTAGACGTCCTCTCGGATTGCGCGCGTCCGACCCAGGCATGCAGGAGTACTGCCCATCTTGTGGCAGATCGTTGCCCGAGCGGTGTGGCCAGGAGGCACCAGCCACGACGCATGTGCTATAAGATTTCTCGGTGCGCGCGTCGCCCCGGGGGCGACGCACACATATGTGTGCGTCGCCCCCGGGGTGGCGCCGAGTCCAAACAATCAGCGCGGACCTCCGGAAGCTTATGCTTGTCGGGGAAGCCACAGAAGTACCGATGCTGCTACTCCCCAAACCTTTCTGGGGGCGCGTTCAGACCAGGATTTCGAGGCGAATCCAGGGGTGGCGACGAAGACTCCCCAGGAGGCTTGAAAAGGGGCGAACGAACCAGGGTGACGTATGCCATCCCCCGCCCACTCGATGAAAACCCCTCCGCTTTAGTGGGCCCCGGAAACGGCAGGGCCGTTTTTTCACCGTTTCCGAAAAATGTCACTTGAAAATGGGAGGGGGAAAAAAAACAGCGACCGGAAACGGCAACAAAAACGGTTCCATGATTGGAGCCTGAGCCGCAACAGGTAATGAACAAAAAAAGGCGGCGGCACCGGAGACAAAACAGCGTCGGGACGGGCAACAAAAAAACGGCAAAGCGGAAACGGTAACAAAAACGCCCCTATGGAGGCGAACGAGGACGAGGAAGAGGAGGAGGAGGGAAGGAAGAGGAGGCGGAGGAGAAAGAGAAGGAGGAGGAGAACCCGCAACGTCTGATGTCTTTCGTGCCGTGAGGAAACGAGAAATAGAAGAGGAGGAAGCAGAGGAAGAGGAGGAGATAAACGTATAGCAGGAGGGCGAAACCCGTCATCCCCTGCACCGCATGCCATCGCATCGCTCGCGAGCTGAACTCGAAGAGATCAAAATGCTCACATTTCTAGAGTGGTAGTCCTAGGAAAACCACTGCATCGCGATTCCAGGCGGCGCGCGCAAGTGCATCGAAGCGCGTGCTCCGCACGTTCCCTGGGGCGCCCGCCCCAAGCAGCGGGCCCCACCCCCCACTCGCCATCGCTCGGACGTCCATTCCCTGTGCATGTTTCGGTTTCGTGCGTGTTTTCTTCGCGAGGTGAGCAAACTCCTCCTCGATGGTCTTCGCCGAGAAAAAATGCACACGTTCGAGCGATGCCAAGCCCAGGCAGGCGCGGCGTGTGGCGGCGTGTCCACGTTGCCACGCAGGCCGCGCCGGCTGGCCGGCGGCACTGCGCCGCTGTACGCACGGGCTTGGAGGCCTGGAAATGAGCACCAGCACCAGCACGAGGGGTTGCCTCCACAAGGGGGAAGATGATCCTGTTTCGTGAAACCCCAAGGCTGCCGCGTCCACTAGCGGCCAGCGCGGGCCCCCCGCGCGCCCGCGGTGAGTGCGTGGCGGGGGCAGGCCCCAAAGGAGCGGGGGGTTTTCGGCCGAAGCCAGGGGAACCCCGAACCTACAGGGGGAAGATGATCCTATAGATTTCGGTGCTGGTGGTAACATTTCGGTCCCCTCGGCAGCCAGAATGCCGTCAACCAGTCTAGTAAGGATGCGCGATAGTGATGCAAGGGCCCTGGACGCCCACTTCGAAGCTCTTCGAGCGGGGCGCGGCCAGCGAAAGCGGCGAAGGATGGACCGAGGAAGCAAGGATGCAAGGGTACCTTTGGGAAGGTTGCCCATCCTTCCTATGCGGGCTGACTGTATTACCACCATCGCCGAGACCGGGATCTTCTTCCCTAGGTGGAGGCACACCGCCGATCTTGGTGCTGGTGTCAACCTCTAAGCCTGCGGCGGGTCTCGTCCGAGCAGTGTTCTCGCCCGCAGCCGTGCGGCAAGCGGTCCGGGGAGGGAGGGATCTCTACAGCGGAGGCCAGATGCACAAGCAGCCCTCCACAAGAAACCCAACCCTGAGACCCCAGGGCGTCCAGTGATTTTTGGTGTGGGGACCTCGCGCTTTCCATGGCACCGCCATCGCAACCCAAGGAGCCCCGGGCACCCTGGAGGCAAGCAGGGTGTTCCTTGGCATGGGTCACCACTGTAGGTGGCGCGCCCGGGAGGGAAGTCAGGAGGTACCTCCGGCGCCCCGGGGGACTCCGCGCACGTGCGGGGAGTCCCCCGGCCTTCTGAGAGTCTTCCAAAGCATTCCCCGAAGATGCAAACACCTCTCAGAAGGCCGGGGGGCTTCTGAGAAGTCCCGCCGCCTTCCGAGAGGGCCTTCTCCTACTCACGTCCCACCTCGCTCGCCGCGGCGACCTCCGCACCGCAAGCGCGCGAAGCTGTTTCCCCTCCCCTCCCAGTCCTCCCCTCCCTCGGCCCCGAATAAGATGTCCAACCCACGGGGTCGGCCTCTTCAGATGATGCCTGGGAACCACTTCCCGCACCAATTGAGCATGGCAACATGGGGCTCCGAAGCCCGGAGAGGGCACGTGGCCTGGAGAGTACAGCCATCGTCACGCGTGGCATGAGCACCCCCCAGGCTATGCAGTGCCGCCACGGCGCCGCAGCCCGTGAGAAGGACAACAAAAAACACGCCGCAGGGCGTGACCGAAGGCCGGCGGCGCCAGGCTGCCGCTGGACAGAGAGAGGTCGAGCAATCGAGGCTTCTCTCGGCACAGCTCGGCGCGATCGCACGAACACCACCTGGGGCTTGCCGGCGGCGGGCGCTTGCTGGGCCGCCCGGGTGTGGAGATCGAGCCAGTTTGGCCCCCCTTCCCCCTGCGGGCCAGGGAGGATCAGGGTCGGGAGGGCGAGGATCGGCGTCCGCCGCCGCGCGCGTGGGACTCCGGGGCGGGCTGGCTTGCCTGCGGGCTGTCTGGTGGGGCCCTGGCCTTTAGGGTCTGAGTGCGCTGCCTTTCTATCGCCTCCACCTTCTCCTCCTCCCCCTCCTCCGTTCCTCCTCCTCCTCCTCCTCCTCCTCCGTTCCTCCTCCTCCTCCTTCTCCTGCTCCTTCTCCTTCTCTTCCTCCCCTCCTTGGCGGGGTGATCACGTCGCAGGCGGGGACAAACAAACTCGCCCCCCTGAAGTTGCTTCATACCGCTCTTCTCGGCTCCCAAGACAGCTCCAAGACGACCTAAGTCTGCCTCAAAGGGAATGCGAGATGGCAAAGACACCCCAAGTGTCCCCGAGAGACCCCCACACAGCTCCCGAGAAGCGCCCAAAGAACCCTCCAGGAAAGCCCTCGAGCGAGACGGCCCCCCAAACCAGCTACCACGACGGCCCAATACTGCCTCAAGATGAAACCATCACTCCACAAGATGGCCCAAAGCAGCCCCAACATTGCTCGACGGCGGCCACCGAACCCGCGAAGACGTCCTCTATGTCTCATTACTGGTTCACCGAGCCTGCTTGGGAGAGCGGTCAAATCATCGCGCCCAAGACGGCTCCCACACTCCCACGAAACAACCAAACAACTCCCAATAGGTGCCACGCTGGCGCTGCTTCCCAGACGGCCCCCAGATCGGTTGGGCCGATCCTCTTCTGGAGGCCGCGGTGGAGCCATCAGCAATCCTGAATGCGTTTCGATGCTGCGCTGGCACGGTGGCGGAGTTTGCCACAGGCAGCATGATAGGGATAGGCGGAGGAAAGAGGATGTCAAGGTCGAATTGGAGCAATTGCAAGGCTTCCAGCGGATTTTTGCCGCAGAAGCTGCAAACAGTACAAATATGACTGCTACGCTGTATCGGCCACACCCATCTTAAAACATACAGCAACAGCCCGGTCGTGCTGGCAATGCGCCCACGATCCTGGCATCATCTTTAGAATGCGGTCGGCATTGCACACTCTGCTGTGACCAGCGCCAAGATGGCAGGCATCAAAGCTATGATCGCGGAAGGGGGGCTGGCAGCCTCGTAGGCGTGGGACCAGCTTTTTGTGTACCAATTGTTCTTCAGACGTGGTCTCAGAGGGCGGCAGTCAACATGCGGAGCAATAGCTCCAGGCCAGGATGCAAGTTCCTGGGGCCCGGGGCAGCCATGTGGCAAGAGCTGCATCGGCACGCGGCCAACAAGGATACGCTGGAAGTGAAGCGGATGTGAGCAAGGATGCATAGAGGCGGCCCACATCACCCCCCATACCCACCACATCATAGTTTAAGTTTCCTAAGCTTCTCTCTGGAGCTTGTGGCCCGACTACCGTCGTCAGCTGCATGCGCCCCAAGAGAGACCCCTGGCAACTTGCGAAACATGCAACCGCCGAGGGCTGGGGGGACAACATAGATATAAAACCAGCAACGTGTTGGATAGCCTCCCACATAAAGCAAAACAGCTGCCACGCACGAAACTGCCTGGAACATTGCTCACATCGCGCCATCACGCACGTGCAACGGAGCATTTACAGAAAGGCACATACGCGTTTACAAACCACGCAAAAGCTGTTTTTGTACAAGACAGAGCAAGGTTCATACAACGACTTGTAAAACAGACACGTAGCGAATCGCAATCGTCGTCGCGGGGGCCTGTCGACATAGTCCATACGCATTCAGACGACAGAACCAACCATAAGCAGTTGTGGATACCGCGTTCTGGGTCGATCGTTCGACGGGCCTGTCTATGGGGCCACGAACAGTGTGAGGGGTGTGCCGAAATGGGCGGGGAACCGCACGCGAACTTTGCCACTGAGGCTTTCGGCGGAGCTCCCTATGGGGCCACGAGCCGTCTGAGGGGTGTGCCGAAATGGGCGGGACACCGCATGCGAATAGTGCCACTGAAACCTTCGGCGGAACTCCCTGTGGGGCCGCGAACCGTCTGAGGGGTGTGCCGAAATGGGCGGGGAACCGCATGCGAATTTTGCCACTCAAGCCTTCAGTGGAGCTCCCTGAGGGGCCACGAACCGTCTGAAGGGTGTGCTGACATGGGCAGGGAACCGCATGCGAAATTTGCCACTGAAGCCTTCGGCGGAGGGGAATGCCGAAATGGGCGGAAAACCGCATGGAAATTTGCCACTGAGGCCTTCGGCGAAGCCCCCCGTGGGGCCACGAGCCGTCTGAGGGGTGTGCCGAGATGGGCGGGGAACCGCATGCGAACTTTGCCACTGAAGCCTTCGGTGGAGCTCCCTGTGGGTCCACGAACCATGTGAGGGGTGTGCCGAAACGGGGAATCGCATACGAAACTTGCCACTGAGGTCTTTGGCGGAGCTCCTGTGGGGTCGCGAACCGTGTGAGGGGTGTGCCGGAATGGGCGGGGAACCGCATGCGAATTTTGCCACTCAAGCCTTCGGCGGAGCTCACTGTGGGGCCACGAGCCGTCTGAGGGGTGTGCCGAAATGGGCAGGGAATCGCATGCGAACTTTGCCACTGAGGCCTTCGGCGGAGCTCCCTGTGGGGTCGCGAACCGTGTGAGGGGTGGGCCGAAATTGGTGGGAAACCGCATGCGAACTTTGCCACTGAGGCCTTTCGGCGGAGCTCCCGATGGGGCCAAGAACAGTCTGAGGGAATGCCGAAATGGGCGGGGAACCGCATGCGAATTTTGCCACTCAAGCCTTCGGCGGAGCTCACTGTGGGGCCACGAGCCGTCTGAGGGGTGTGCCGAAATGGGCGGGGAACCGCGTGCGAACTTTGCCACTGAGGTCTTCGGCGGAGCTCCCTGTGGGGCCACGAACCGTGTGATGATGCTGAGGAGGAGGGGAGGAGGAGGAGGAGGAGGAGGAGGAGGAGGGGAGGAGGAGGAGAGGAGGAGGAGGAGGAGGAGGAGGAGGAGGAGAAGTAGGAGGCAGCGGGAGGAGGAGGGAGGAGGCAGCGGGAGGAGGAGGAGGAGGAGGACCAGGAGGAGGACGGAGGAGGAGGAGGGAAGGAGGAGGAGCTCGGGGCGCTGTCTCTTTCCAGCGAGGACCCAACACCACAGGACGGATGGGAGCCATCCTGGTGGGTGTATGTTTTTTTTTTTTTTTTTTTTTTTTGTTTTCTCTCTCTCTCTCTCTCTCGAATGGAAGAGGAAGCCCTGGTGAAGCGATGGGGTAGCGCGATCCACCGTCTCCGGCCTGAACAGATTCTCGACGGCGGGGGGTCAGCAACCGAGCGGGGTCAGGAATCAGGGCGCCCCGTCCCCCAAGCACAACGCCCCCCCCCCCCCCCGCAGGTGAGAGGAGTGAAGGGGTCTGGACCCCCAACCTCCCCCAGGACAAAGTAGAGGGGGGGGGTCCAGAGCCCTCCCCTCTGGACAATTCTTGGGAGGGTCCAGAACACCCTCCCCCCTCCTCGGCAGCGACGACGACGACGACGACGGCGACGACGACGACGACGGCGAGGACGACGACGAGGACGAGGACGAGGACGAGACCGAAGACGACGACGACGACGACGACGACGACGACGACGACGACGACGACGACGACGACGACGTCATCGGCCGCTGCGGCGCCCCTGTGGCCCACGCCCGCGCCAGGCGCGGGCTCTGTTAGAATACAAAGAGGGCTCGATACAGATCTTCCAGTATCCTACCGGGGCCCTGTTGCGGTTTGCCTTACCTTACCCCTGTTTACCCTACTCTGCGATCCCCTACTGTGCGTGCTCTACTCTGACCTACTGCGCACTATTCTACCCTACCGTACCTAACATACTCTAATACACTCCACTTGTCCCTATTCTACTCTACTCTACTCTGCCCTAATATATTATACCATGCTCTACTCTACTCTACTATACGCTACGCTACTCTGCTCTACTCCTCTACACTATTCGATTCGATTCTGCTCTACTTTACTCTGCCCTACGTTACTCCACCCATTCTACCCTACCGTGACATACTCTACTCTACTCTAGTTTCTACTCTACTCTAAAATTACTCTACTCAGCGCTGCTCTACTCTACTCTATGCCTGTCCTACTCTACCCATACATGTGACTCTACTCGGCTCAATTTGCCCTGCTGTACTCTACCCTACTCGACTCTACCCTACCGTACCCTAACATATCATGCTCACCTTTGCACGTGCTCTATTATACTCAATGTGACTCCACCTCTATTCTGCTCTACTCTGCTCTCCTCTACTCTACTCTACTCTACCCTACTCCACTATACGCTCTACCCTACTCGACCCTGCCGTGCCCTGACATACTCTACTCTACTCTAGTTTGCTCCAGACTCCTGCTCTACCCTACTCTACTCCTACTCTGCTCTACTCGGCTCTGCTCTACTCTACTATCTTCCGGCTCTACTCTACCTATTTACTCTTGGCTACTCGATTCTACTCTAATGTACCAAGGTTTACACCTCCACGCTCTACTCTACCCTACCCTACTCTACCCTACCCTACAGTATGCCACCCTACTCTGCTCGACTCTACTCTTCTCTCTGCTCTACCCGAAGGCGGGCCGGGAGGACCCGAAGGGGCCTCCCAAGACGCTCCAAAAGGGCCCCGTCTCGCCGAATGATCCGTTCCAAGACGCCCACCGCCAAGACAGCCTGAGAGGTCTCCACGAGGCATCCCAAGAGAGGAGGAGGAGAAGGAGGAGGAGGAGGAGGAGGAGGAGGAGGGCCCCAAGAGGCAACAGCCATTGTTCTCGCATTCTCGGCTTTTCCGACGCCCCAAGACAAGCGCAAGAGGCCACCAAGACCACCCCCAAAACGGGGCACGAGGCCTATTCCAATAGAGCCCCAGGACGGCCGAAGAGCGCCCCAAGACGGCTCAGGAGGCGTCCAGGACGGCCCAAGAAGGCCCCAAGACGGTCCCCAAAGAGGCCCAAGATAGGGAACACGAGCCAGAAATCCACGCCTTCCGCCCCAAGAGGCCCCCAGGAGGTCACGAGATGCGCTCAGGAGGCCCCAAGGGGCCCCCAAGAGGCCCACAAGAGGCCCAAAGGCCTCCAAACAGCCCCAGAAGAGGCTTCCAAACTGCTTCCAAGAGGCCCCCGAGAGGCCTCCCACGAGATCCCGACGAACATCCAACAGGCTCCATACCCACAACCCAGGTACGGTGGCGGGATGGGCCGAAGGCCATTTGATACTCTACGCCTACTCTGCTCTGCTCTGCTCTGCTCTGCTCTGCTCCTCGTCGTCGTCGTCGATTTCGTCGTCGTCGATTTCCTTTCCCGGACAGGGCGGGGGCCCAGGTTTCTCTTTTAGTAAGTAAACCTGTCCCCCGGTGCCAACTTCGAAGAGGGCCGGCGTATCATTTCCTGGCAAATAACGAAATCGAAGAGGGCCGGCGGATTAAAATGTGAGGATGTCCCGAGCGAGACGCTTTATATAAAAATTCAAATCGAAAAAAACATAAGATGAAATGATCAGTTTCGTTTGTTGCGGATGTTTCTAGCGAAACGTTTTTGTTGCATGATTTGTTGAGGATGTCTCCAGCGAAACGTTTGTTTTGTGCTATAGATCGTTCCTCCCCTGGGGACCACAATTCAGAGGATGTCCCAGGTGAAATGCTTGTTGTCACGTGCCCTGGTCTTGAGGATGTGTCGAGCGAAACGTTTGGCTTCACGCCTCCAGGTTGCCCAGGCAGGTGTCTAGCATCAGGGTTTGTTGAGGATGTCTCGAGCGAGACGCTTGTTTTCAAGCGTCCAGGTCGTCCAGGCAGATGTCTAGCATGAGGATGTGTTGAGGATGTCTCGAAGGAAATGCTTGTTTGC